GTACCGCATTTATGCCTAAAAATAGTAGCACGGCTATAGTTGTAGCATACAGTGATTATATGAGAAAAATGTTAAATTTTCAGAAAGCATTCACCCATTCCCAAATTAACTCACCATTTGCAGAGCATATATATTCATATATCCGTCGTGTATGTGATATTGGTCATCTTCATCTTCATCTCATCTTCCATGTTTTTTTCTGCGTGGCTTTCCGATTGTTTAGCGGCCCACAGTGTCACATCCTGAAACCCCAGAGAAGGCGATGAACTGGTAGAGGTTTGCATCTTATGTGGCCCTAGATTTAATGTGTTCTTTTATACTGATTCCCTTTTAGGGTTTAGTTGGAAACTTGGAACAGACTAACAGGGACACGAAAGGAAAATATGATGGATGACCAGTCGGGCGACGACGAAATATTAAATGGTCAGTACTCAGATTGCAGCAATAGTAGTAGCTAGCAGTCGACTATCTGAAGTCCCTTGGACTTTGAATTACGAGTAGGCCTTTCTAGTCCTAGTACATCCATACTAGTATTAACTACTACTGTGCTAGTCGATATTCCTACTGACTAGCGAGAACCAGGTACATTTTGGTAGCTAATGATAAGGTGAAGATGAAGTTGGCTACACCGTTATAGTGAGTATAGCACTGCGTGTGGCCATGTGCTGGATACTGGTTACAGACAGTATAACCTACACCCACCGCACTGGTGGTCTCGAGAAACACTCGTTGTTCTTGTAGGTGGTGCAGGTTGTAGGCTATACTGTACCCAGGTATGGCTAATGCTATACTATCAGAAGTAGTTATATTGTAATGTGGTGATTATAATTATGAATGATTTTGACGGTGATGGTAATGATGGTGATGATGAATGATGATGATGATTACAGTGATTTTGATGATGATGATTGATCAGTCGCCTCACTTGATTACCTTATCTGTGCATAAATTTGTCTCGATTATAATTGTAGTTAACTGAGTTTATGATGTTATCGTCACGTTTGTAGTTGTAGAGGACGATGCGATTGTTGGAAATCAGAAGAAGCACAAGAAACACAAACATAAGAAGCACAAGAAACGGCAGGAGAAATTCGACAGAGATGAGGACGATGACTCACCCGAACTTTCGTCGCCTTCTAAACCAGCTTTGAAATTAAAGATTAAGATTGGAGGGGAGACGTTTGGTGAAAAAAGGTGTGTTCACTGGGCAGAGGCATATATAGTACTGTATAGTTGCTCTACAATATATGTGTGTGTTTGTGTGTCTGTCTGTGCGTGTATGTATGTGCGTGCGTACTGCATGTGTGTGCCTGTAGTGTACCCTAATGTCCATAATGTCCCAGAGAGACGTCACTAGTAGTTGTTCAGATAGTTGTAGATGTCACTCACTTTGTTCACGTGAGAGCAAGAGCAGGTGAATGAGAGCATTTTAGAGTGGTTTTGCTATGATTGTTCGAATATGGTCGATTTTAGTCTATCTCTCTGGGTGCTGTTTATATATATATGAGAAAACAATTAGGGAGCAGAGTTATCATATGTTTAAGATCATGTTTGATTGCATACATATATATATTGGGTTGCAAGTAGTAAATCGTAGGCTGTCTAAAGCTAGTGTGTGGAAATGTCCTTGATCTCGGTTTGTCATACCACTCACACTTGTCCCTAGTAGTAGTATCTGCTGATATTATACTTCTGGTAGTGATTTTACATATTACAAAACAGTTATTGCGTAGGTTGTTCGAGAAATATGTCGTTTTGTGGACCTAGAAAATCAATGTCCCTGTTACATCCATGCTATAATGGTATAATTAATGTATATATGTTAATATAGTTTTAACAGTAATATAGTTTACTGTTTCTGATATTCTGTTTTGTTGTACAGTGTTTCAATAGATGCTGTTTCCAAGGACAAAATAAAACCATCGAAAAGACAGGAGAAAGCTGAAAAAGCCAAAGAGCAACCGTGGTTAATATGTAAGCAAATTTATCAGTATTATTTATGATTCCTCGCTGATTACTACTTACAATTTGCTACAGTTTGTCATCATGCCAGGCAAACCTAAAAACAGTACCTGGGACGTCTGACTCAAAGCTAAATCTAATAATGTTAAGATTTTTTCCCTTCCATCATTCATAGTAACAGTTGAAATTCTTTAGTCCGAAATTGTGTGATTCGGCAACTATGGTCCGTAATGTTTTCCGTGTGTTAAGGTTTATATTACAGGTACATGAAACAATAAAATATTCTTGCAGCACTAATAATTGCAAATAATTTTCTATTTCAAGCCTTGTTCTACCGTCCATGGCATGGCAATAAGTATGTAGAGTGATCTGGCAAGCCTAGAAATCGGTTCCTAGTGGCCAGATTCTGTCGTCCGTCAGTTTCAGTGGCCCGGGACTCGTCCGGTCCCTCGACTGCCTCACTACAAGTTTCACGCATCGTTTTTGCAGCAGAAGATAAACCGAAGGGAGGCAAGAAGGGCGATGCGAGCGTAAAGGTGGAGGACAGTGATGAGGAGGAGCGATGGCTGGACGCGCTGGAGGCGGGAGATCTGGACGACATGGGGGAGCTGAAGCGTGATCGCAACACATCCCTGATGACCGCGCGTCAGGTGACGTATCCAGCGACGCTCACCGTCGCTTTGTACATGTAGTATATAGTTATTGAGAGAGAGAGAGAGAGAGAGAGATTGTCCCATTGCGCAAACGTGTGTACGCGAGTCGCGTGATCATTGTGTGAGTGGATGTCCGGATGCGTAGTCTGGAGGCTAGGCGACCGGTTCCGGACGCGTAGCCACTGCATAAAGTTTAACCTCTAACTATCGTTGAAATGGTCTACTTGCGGTATTTCTTGTAAACGAACATTATTTACGAACTTCAAACGGCCATTTTTGGTGCACGCCCGTCAGCAGGAACTATGTATTTCCGCACATGGAGGGGTGGGCGGGTTGTCTTGGTTATGGACAAAAATGTTGTTGCCAAGTAACAAATTAAGCGATCAAAAAAGATGGTACGTAATATTAGTTTTGTCATGAAAGATAAACAAATTACTATTATCAATTTGTTACTTGACAACAACGTTTTTGTTCACAACCAACACAACCCGCCAACCCCTCCGCGTGCGGAAATACATAGTTCCCGCTGGCTGGCTGGAGTAAGTTGGTCCCTGGCATGCATGACGCATGCGCAGTAGCGCTGGGTGTGAAGCGCAGTAGCAATGGGTAAATGAGACTGCCGCGGTCAACGTGCTGGGGGTAATTTCAGACCGGTGCAATCTCAGACCGTGATACCGGTCTGAGATTACCCAAGTCTGAATTTACCCTCCTATGGGCACCCAGGTTAAGATATAATTTGCGGGAACAATTCCAGCCCGGTCTGAGATTACCCAAGTCTGAATTTACCCTCCTATGGGCACCCAGGTTAAGATATAATTTGCAGGAACAATTCCAGCCCGGTCTGAGATTACCCCAGTCTGAATTTACCCTTATTTTGCCAGCCTCTAATCTCAGACTGTGACCGTGTCAATCTCATTTATCCAGCGCTAGGATGCATGCGTGACGCATGCGCACGACGTGCTGGGGGTAATTTCAAACCGGTGCAATCTCAGACCGTGACACCGGTATCGCGTTAATGTTAATAATGATTATAATAATAATGAAATCTATATAATTATATATGGATTTCATTCTATCCATGACCAGTAATAGTAGATGGATTGTCCCATATAATTAAAGCTGAGAGTCTATGTCAGCTTATGATATCAGTAAAGAGTCAATATCTGTGTGTGTAATTCAGCGGCACTCCCTGAGATTTTCGTAAAATGTTGACCTTCGAAATTACACTAACTCATTTTCAATCATGAAATTCTAAATTTTCGCCCATAAATTTCCACCAATTCTTTCGCCCAGGGTGGGAAACTTAACAAAACACCATAATTAGGTTATCTATAATTTCGTACCGCATTTATGCCTAAAAATAGTAGCACGGCTATAGTTGTAGCATACAGTGATTATATGAGAAAAATGTTAAATTTTCAGAAAGCATTCACCCATTCCCAAGTTAACTCACCATTTGCAGAGCATATATTCATATATCCGTCGTGTATGCGATATTGGTCATCTTCATCTTCATCTCATCTTCCATGTGTTTTCTGCGTGGCTTTCCGATTGTTTAGCGGCCCATAGTGTCACATCCTGAAGCCCCAGAGAAGGCGATGAACTGGTGGTTTGCATCTTATGTGGCCCTAGATTTAATGTGTTCTTTTATACTGATTCCCTTTTAGGGTTTAGTTGGAAACTTGGAACAGACTAACAGGGACACGAAAGGAAAATATGATGGATGACCAGTCGGGCGACGACGAAATATTAAATGGTCAGTACTCAGATTGCAGCAATAGTAGTAGCTAGCAGTCGACTATCTGAAGTCCCTTGGACTTTGAATTACGAGTAGGCCTTTCTAGTCCTAGTACATCCATACTAGTATTAACTACTACTGTGCTAGTCGATATTCCTACTGACTAGCGAGAACCAGGTACATTTTGGTAGCTAATGATAAGGTGAAGATGAAGTTGGCTACACCGTTATAGTGAGTATAGCACTGCGTGTGGCCATGTGCTGGATACTGGTTACAGGCAGTATAACCTACACCCACCGCACTGGTGGTCTCGAAAAACACTCGTTGTTCTTGTAGGTGGTGCAGGTTGCAGGCTATACTGTACCCATGTATGGCTAATGCTATACTATCAGAAGTAGTTATATTGCAATGTGGTGATTATAATTATGAATGATTTTGACGGTGATGGTAATGATGGTGATGATGAATGATGATGATGATTACAGTGATTTTGATGATGATGATGGATCAGTCGCCTCACTTGATTACCCTATCTGTGCATAAATTTGTCTCGATTATAATTATAGTTAACCGAGTTTATGATATGTTATCATCACGTTTGTAGTTGTAGAGGATGATGCGATTGTTGGAAATCAGAAGAAGCACAAGAAACACAAACATAAGAAGCACAAGAAACGGCAGGAGAAATTCGACAGAGATGAGGACGATGACTCACCCGAACTTTCGTCGCCTTCTAAACCAGCTTTGAAATTAAAGATTAAGATTGGAGGGGAGACGTTTGGTGAAAAAAGGTGTGTTCACTGGGCAGAGGCATATATAGTACTGTATAGTTGCTCTACAATATATGTGTGTGTTTGTGTGTCTGTCTGTGCGTGTATGTATGTGCGTGCGTACTGCATGTGTGTGCCTGTAGTGTACCCTAATGTCCATAATGTCCCAGAGAGACGTCACTAGTAGTTGTTCAGATAGTTGTAGATGTCACTCACTTTGTTCACGTGAGAGCAAGAGCAGGTGAATGAGAGCATTTTAGAGTGGTTTTGCTATGATTGTTTGAATATGGTCGATTTTATTCTATCTCTCGGGGTGCTGTTTATATATATGAGAAAACAATTAGGGAGCAGAGTTATCATATGTTTAAGATCATGTTTGATTGCATACATATATATATTG